CCCCCAAACCGCCCCCCTCCCCCATTGCTTGGGGTGAGAGAAACGACCTGACCTTTGAAACTCAGCTCTCTGGCAAAATGAGGCAAGGACAGCCTGGCGGGGAACAGGAAAGGAGGGAGCCAGGTGTCCAGCACACGTGCTTCCCCTCTGCCTGAGTGCGGAGGCCGGGGTTCTCACACTCCTGTGCCTCACAGTCAAGCTGGGATCATTGTTAAAGGCAGGTGCCTGGGCCACTCCCGGCATTAGTCAGGTTCAGGGTGCATGGCCCAGGAATCTGCACGTTAGTGGTTCCCAGGTGACTCTGTCAGAGGGTCATGGCACAAACCCCGAAGCTGAGAGGTCTGCAGGGGGTGCCACAGTGGACGTGTGCAGGGCAGATTCCCCTCTCCTCCCCATCCTGGCTCCGGGCCCAGAAGACTGAATCGGCAGGTCTGAGGTAGCCGCCAGTGGTCAGTGTTAGAATATTAGTGCGGCTTGGGGGGGGGGGGGGGGCTTCCAGGGGGGAAAAGTGCACCTGCCCCAAGTTTTCATTGTATAACAGAAGGTGGAAGTGAAGCAGGAAGGGCCCTTGGCTTGCTTACTCCGTTTCACCAAAAGGGAAGCTGGGGGGTTTTCCTAGCCTGACTGGGGGCCGGAAATGAGGAGCCGGAGGAGCCCAAGCAGCAGCCTCTGGCCTTTCAGGACTTCAGTTTCTGGTGAGTTTCAGTGTGAGGTCTAAGGATCAGCATCACTTGTGAGAATGCAAATTCCTGGGCCCCACACCCTACTTCCTGGCCAGACTCTCTGGGAGTGGGGCCCTCAATCTGTGTTAGAACAAGGCCTCGGGTGGTGCTGATGCTGTCCAGGATTGAGGACCCTGCACGGGAGGCTCAGATGCTTCATGCTCGTGGGCTTAGGGAAGGTTCCCCACCTCTCATTCCCTTCCCGTGGGGACAGGGAGAAGTCGCACAGCACCCCTCCCCTCTCTCCACTAGTTACTGAGAAGGTGCTGAGTGACACACAGGCCACATGGGCCAGAGAAAAGGAAGCCAGGTTCCGGGCAGCTGCCACCTGCCCCGCTGGCTGCTCTCCCAGATGACTCTCGGCTTTGTTTTTCTTTCCTCTCTAAGCCTGGAGAGGGGTGCAGGAGGAGCTTTCCCTGCGTGCCTGCCTAACCCCCCAAAGTTGAGGCAACGCTGGTCCAGACGCCCCAGGCCTGGTTCCACTGTCCTCCCTAGAGATATGGGCGTAGGACTCAGGCTCAGGACACGTCTCCACACTGCCCTCCTCCCGGCCCAGTGCTTGCTTTTCTCTTAAGATGGGCGAGCAAACACTGCTGCTCTGGGGCGGGCTTCAGTCAAAGGGGCTGCGTCCTGGACCAGGACTAAAGACCTTCTTTGAAGGGGAGTCACAGTTCGTACCCACACCTCAGGACGGGTTCTAGCCAGCCCGGGCTGCTACAGTGAAATGCCAGACTGGGTGGCTAAGTAACAGGCATGTGTCTCTCTCGGTTGTTGGCTGGAGAGAGGCTGAGTCGGAGGCTGAGGCCCAGGGCGAGGACGGGCCCAGGGGGACAGACAAGTTACCCAGCCCTCCTCCCTTCTCCAGGCCCAATGTTGGACCTCCTCCCAACATTCTGATCAAACAGCAGCACTAATGTGCTCCAAAGAGGGAGTCACTGGGATCCGGACTAATCCAGCCCTGTTGTCGGGGTTCACTATAGTCTTTAAATGTGTTACAAGAGAGTTCACAACATTGAAGCAAAACTTTGGGGGCGTACTTGGGTTAAATTAAAAGCACAATTTCCTATTTTCTTGTCAAATGACTTTACTTGAGGCAACAAGTGAAATATAATTTAACTCAACAGGAAATATCACACTTGGAGGGAAAACATAGAAAAAACACACACCTTAAAGCCAAACATTCTTTCCAAGGCCCAGCGCTGACATTTCCAGACTGACAGCAGAATGAGCGTTTCCATGAAACAAAACTGTGCGTCCAAGTCTGGCTTGGAAAGTTTTCCACTTCATCGCCACTTCTCAAGGCTCAGGGCACGATGCTTGTGGCCTTCCGCAGGGCCAGGTAGCCTGTGACAACATCGGAGGGCAGCCTCCTAATGTAGGAAAACTCTTCGATGGTGCTGAACCGCAGCTTGCTCTGCGGGTCAGTGTAGTTGGCCTGGGTGGGAAGCAGGCACAGAGAAGGGCAGAGAGCTGTTGGTGGTGACTATTTTAAGTTCAAGTTTAATTTTTTTTTCTATTTTACTGAAAGTGAAATACATCTTCATCATGTCTTACTCTGTTGCCAAGAACACTAAATTGCGCACTTTGGCGAAGACGTGTTAATCTTCCCAGACTTAAGACTTCAGGGAATGAATGGGAGGAAGAGGAATAACCACATCAGATTCTAGGACTCTTCTGGTTGGTGCCTCAAGGGCTACAAAACTGAATTCATGATGATCACCCCTGCCTTCAATCTCCCACCTGCTTCAAACAAATGTTGCAGATCTATTCCCAAGGCAGGGAGCAGCACCTCCATGCCCCTCCCTGCTGCCTTCCTCCTACTCCAGGGCATCCCTCTTCTACCCTTCCTTACCCTCCCTGTGCCACTTCCACGGCTCCCTGGGCCCCATGGCAGTGCTGGGCTAGCCACCAACACCCACTCTTCCACCAGGAGGGACAGCCATCCTACAACTTGCAACTACAGCAAGGCTCATCTTTGCAACTTGCAATTCTGGTCGTGTCCTTTATGAAACCTCTCAGTGGCTCTTCTCTGTTTCCGGGACAAAGGCCCCAGTCCTCAGCATGGCTCCAATGTCCCTGCCAGCTCTTCCTCAGCTACATGTCCTCACTCGCTGTCCCAATTCCCAGGCTCCAAGTCTCTCCCTCCGGTTACGCTCCATTTTCCCTTTCCTTGGAAGGGGCCCCCACCCTGGCTCACTATGCTCAGTAATCACCCGTTCATCCTATAGGACTCAGCCCCCAAAGTCTTGTCATCAGGGAAGCCTTATCTGGCCCTGACAGGAGGTCAGGACCCCACCCTCTCACCTCACCACGTGTGTCCCCTGTGGGATGCTTATCACTGTTGTTTTTACATCTATTATCTGCATGAGCCTCTGATTAACGCCCAAGCTCTGAGGCTCCCTGAGGCAGGAACCCTGTGGTGTGCTTATCACTGAATCCTGGCTCCTAGTGCAATGCAGAGCACAGTAGGCCTTCAGGCAGTGTTTGTACAGCAAATGATAGATGAATGAATGAACCACCAAATGGACACTTAGGACCATCACAGAAAAAAGAACCTGTTTCCCACTGACATACCAACATTCTCTTTTGTTCTGTTTTCCCATGTGCAGAGTGGAGAATCTAATTCACCCACTATACATCTCAAGGCACATGGCTTCTTAGATTTTGAAACAGAAGACATGAAGGTGAGTCATCTGGAGCTCCTTTCAGAAAACTATGAGATGCCGTTAAAGTCTAGACGCATAACATCCAGTTACTCAAGTGTGGATGGTGTGCTCATCTCTGTGGGCCTGAAAGCAGCAATGCTGCTTTAATCAGCGAGGGCGTGAAGGAGCAACAGGATGCGGGGAACTGAGTCATAGGTTTCCCATTCGCTAAGTCTCCAATTTTGCCACTGGGATCTCCTTAGGTACTTAACGGCTTCCCGTCAGGAAAATGAGATTATTTCTAAAAAACTAAGATTAATTAAAGCTCTGTAAGAAACAAAGCTCTGATCCTTTGGCTTGATCTAGATCAGTGATGGCGAACCTATGACACGTGTGTCACCTCTGACACGGGTGTCATAGGTTCGCCATCACTGATCTAGATACTGCCTTTCTGTAACACTAGAAAGTAATGTAATAGAAGACAGTAATATACAGGAAGGCTTAAACAGAAAGGCAGCAACAAGCCCCTTCTGAGGCTTCTGGCCATGAGCAGTTAGATGATCTGACTGGCAGGGGAGGCTGCTTGCAGTTCCCAGCAGGGGTGCAGGCGTGTGCATCTGGCTTTGATCATCTGGCCTCCATACGCGAACCAGCCCGGCCTGGCTCCATTCCTGTGGCCACCTCACTCCTACCACCAAACTGTGCTGAGCCGGCCCGCCCAAGTTCAGACCTCACTGCCAAGAAGGCTGCTGAATAACTAATGCGAAATGCACAGATACTGTGGCACCAACAAAAAGGTCACCAACGAGAACTTGTGCAGACAGCACCTGACCTAGAGTTCTGAACAGAGGGGAGGGTGCCAAGTACACAGCACAGCTGAACCAGTAAAGAACTGCACTCCTAGTCAGAACCTCCTCCGGATTCCATCCAGGGCGCCCGAATGAAACAAAGGCCATCTGGGCAGGCAGCAAACAGATTTCAGGCCTCCCCCGCTGCGGGGTGACCGCAGTGCTCACTGCCCCCCATCTCTCCCAGAGCCTAGTGCTTTCCATAGCTGTGTAACAACAGCTAGCTAAACACAGATGTGACCCTGCATGCCTCCCTGCCATGCCCACACACAGGGAAACAGTTGCTTGGCTGGCTGGGAAAAGGTGGGTCAGTATAAACATGAGCTGGGCTTATATTTTAATTATGTAACTTTAATTTATACAAGTAACAGATGAACATATTTTCCTCTAAAAGAGAAAAGAAAAAGACAACATTTCGAATAAGACTAAAGTCCCCTTCTACCATCCCAAGTCTTTTGCCTTCCCCTGAGGATACCACTGCTAGGTGGGTACTTTCCAGACTGTGTCCATATACCTCACACAAACATAAACACACCAGAGAAATTACTCACATTTTTTTTGTAAGCATGTGCTGATTTTTACTTAGGTGGTACTATGCAGCCTACATTGCTTTGTACCTTTCAGTAAACAATGTATCTTGGAAGTTAATCCTCGTTGTTACATACATATCAGGCTCACAGACGAGTATGAAAACACTCCCTTTTCTCCCACTGATTGACCTTTATGTTGTCTCCAATATTCTGCTAATCCATTTCCTCCCAAACATTTCTGCACACAGCTCCTTGGGCATACTGTTTCTAAGGGAGCCGTCTGGAAGGCAATGCCGGATCACAGGCTTTTGCTTCTTTGTCTCAGTAGGTAGTGCCAAACTGACATCCAAAGACTCCGTACCAATGTAGGTTCCCACCTCAAACAGCAATGTATGAGGATATTCACTTCTTCCCTACCTGATGAGTCTTTTCCTCATTATCAGTGAGCATGAATATCCACTTATTGGTCATGTGTATCTCCTCCTTGTAATTGTCTTTTAGCCAATTCTTCTATGGTTTGTCTTTCAATGATATGGTAGAGTTCTTTGTATGTTCAGAATTTCTTGAATCTTACATGCATTGGGGCAAGAGGTGTTAGGTTCTATGTAACATGACAAGTCCTTTGCCAGTGGCATAAAGGGGCCTGGAACAATGGTTCTCACAATGATTTTCATGCCTCCTAATGTGTGAAAACCATTGTACAGCAGATGAGCTGCCTGATAATGCTGAGGATAAAGCTACATTTTCTAAGGGACCACCCTCCAAGTCTGGCCATGACCCATGGCTTCTATAAGCTCAGCACAAAATGGTACAGGGAGAAATTTGGGGCCATAACAGAATAACTGGTGCCAAGCTATTTCTTCTGCCATAAACAACTATTAAAAAGGGTCAAGTATATGAGGCAACTATTTTCAGGCAGTAGACAAGAGACAGCATAAGGCTACAACATTTCTCTCAAGGTAAATTAAGGTGAAGTCCCGTCAAGGGACCTTTAGGAGGAGATACATGCCATGAGTGGATACAAAAAGAACCCAGCATACACGCATGCACACACATGCACGCACACACACACCACATGTACACTCAAGCAGGTTTGCTCCATTTTACAGCACTTCTACTCTACCGTTTTTTAAGAATCATTGTATTTAAGTTCCTATATTAAAAAGTTTGTAATACACTGAGGAGTGTGTGCTCTCTGGAGGAAAGCTAAAACATATGACTAATTCAGAGTACAAATAATATTATTTTCAAAATTACAATAACAACTCAAATCCTTACCGATGTAAACTGTGTACCATTTAGTCAGTTTGTTATAGAAGTTGGAGCCATACATTTTCGTAAAAATGTAAAGCATTTAAATGATGCAGATGAGTTTTTAAAAGTGCAGTGACCTATTAGTTCTACAGTCAGGAAGAAAAGCCCATTTTCCGAGTTGAATAGTGATGAAAAAGGATGAAGGTGAGCTGAAAGTTCCACCCTTCATCTACATTCTGAAAAGGAGACAAGGCTCCCTGAGGTTCCTGAGGGACAGCAACTTGCCTAAGTCCCACTCATCCTACAACAGTTTTCAAACTGTGTTCCTAGAAGCACTTTAGGGGTCACTGTGGTGGGCAGTGGGGAGGACAGAGGACCAGACCCACACAGTGGGTAGGTGGGCTCCAGGGGATTCTGTAAAGGATTTCACTTGGAAAAGGGGTTCTGGTGCTTAAAAATATGTTTGAAAACCACTATCTTTACCATAGTGCCTCTTAAAAAAAAAAAAAAAAAAAAAAAAAAAAAATATAAAGAGTACAATCCCTCAAAAATGCAGACTTTTTAAACTTGAGTACTATAAAAGTTTGTGGGGTTTTTTTTTTTAGAGAAGTTTAAATATTTTTTAAAGAGTACAATCCCTCAAAAATGCAAACTTTTTAAACTTGAGTACTATAAAAGTTTGTGGGTTTTTTTTTCTTCATGTAATTAACATGAGAATATATGAAGTATCTTTCATATAAGAACAGGAAGCATCTTTCATATAAGTACAGGGAAGTGAAACTTGTTCTCCTTTCTGGAGCAATCCTCTCTCCAGACTGTCCACATGATGCCCAGGTGACAGCCACTCTGAAACAAACATGTGAACACTCCAGCACAAACCCATTACCTATTCAAATTATATGGGCTCCAGGCAGGACCAGTGGTGGTCAATATCGAACACTGTATAAGTAGACAATACTGTGAACCCTTCCTTTCAATTCCATGTTATGAGGCATAGAGATATAATTATACTCACAAGAAGACCTGAAACATCAGAATACTTCTTAGCTGGTTTGAAGGATGGAGGAGCATCAATACTGAAGTCTGCAAAAAAAGAAAAAGAAGATAACTAAACTGACTTTCAAACATTCAGCTCCCTTCCAGGCCAAGGGCTAGCTTTGCCCTGCCCCCAGGGACCATCCACTCTAGCAGAACCACAGGGAAAGCTCGTCTGCCCACAAGCCATTTTCACCGTCTTGGGCTACATGAGCTGAGGGTGATGAGGTGCCAGATGACCCACTGCTTGGGTCTCAGCATCCAGATACTGGAATGTCCACACCCAGACAACTGACTAGCTCACTTGTCATCTATCTGAGTCACACACACCCCCGCCCCCCATGAAAGATGTGCAATGGGACAGGACCTGGAGGAAACTTTTACCTGTACTTTCCAATGAAGCTGGACAGAATATAAAACAGCCCTTTACATAGATTTGGAAATGCTGTAGCCTAAAGCATTTACTCTGAAAAACACTGGCTCAGAGAGTAAAACAAAGCTTGCCTTTAAGCTGGTTGTTAGGAAACCTACCAAATCTGGGGCAACCTTGTTCTTGCAAATAAATTTTAAGAGTAGACTTCTTAATGAGAAGTTTGCCAAACTTCTTATTGGTTTGTCAAACCAATATTATTATATCAGGACTTGTTTCTCCAGATTGACATGCTAACAGTGACATTAAAAACCACACACCCATGACAACACAGAGTACAGATACAGTTATGAGGAAATGTACACATAATCTCCCTATATTGACACCACTATAAAATTCCTAAGCTAAAAACTGTTTCCTCCACTTATGCAAACACAATAACGTAGGTCTGTTGTAAGAAAATTCCCAGTCGAAACATTATACACTCAAAGAAGGTGTTAAACAGCTCACAGTTAGGATCATTCAGTTGCCACGGCAATGCCCTTTCAGAAGCGAGGATTTGTTTCAGATTCTTCCAGGTTCTATTCTTCTTGCCAGCTACTGCGCCACCATGGCCGGAGTGCTGGGATCAGAAGCATGGATAAGGAAAGTACCATTTCAGAATGTGACATTTATGCTTATTCATAACTGTAATATACCCCTCATTCTGTCAGCAATCATTTGTACCCCTAAGCCTTTTTTTTAAAGTATTACATTGTGCACTTTAATCTTCCTTATAAAAAACAATGCTTTTGGGTTGTCAAAATCCATGAGTTAGTTGATGATGAAGTAGAAATACTACTAATAGGTTATGTTTTTTACATGCACACAGAAAATCACATCCTTTGTTGGGTCTAACTTTATAGAATTCACTCAGGGATTTCCCATTATTTTAAAATAAATTTACTACAAAGTTAGATTCAAACTCATGACCACATCTCTAATCTCCCTTCTGAGGACAAGTCTCTGCCTTGCAAATTACTGGGGATGCTGGAAAACGCAATTATGCCTCAAGCACGGCATGGCACACCTTCTGGAAATGTTTCTTCTTTCTGTCCTATGAAGATGACAAAATAAAATGGAAAAGGAGAACAAAATCTGTTGCAGGCACTGGCAATAGTGTATTTTAAAAACAAATGAAAAAAAAAAACTTTTATGTATAAGCTGAATCAGTGTAAGTCCCCTGAGAACGACAGGAAAAGTAGCCAGTTTCTACTTTACAATACAATAGCTTAGATTTGCTTAAAGGATGGGCCCTTCTTCTCCTGCCCCCACCCTTCCCACAAAGCCCAAGGCAGGGAAGGTGGCAACCTGGAGAGAAGGGGACACCAGTGCCACCTGGGCTGCAGGCCCAGCCAAAGTATGGGTGCTTGGTTTTTTGTTTTTGTTTTTTTGTGTGTGACATATATTTTTTTTTTTATTTTATTGTTTAAAGTATTACAGATAGTAGTACATATGTCTCCTTTTTTCCCCCCATTGACCTTCCCCCGGCCTCCCCTACCCTCCCTCACCCCCCAGTGTCTTGTGTCCATTGGTTATGCTTATATGCATGCATACAAGTCCTTCGGTTGATCTCTTACACCCCTCCCCCCCCAACACTCCCCAGCCTTCCCACTGTAATACAGTTCCTCATGTTGTGGTGACCCCCAACCATAACATTATTTTTGTTGCTACTTCATAACTGTAATTTTGCTACTGTTATGAATCGTAATGTAAATATCTGATATGCAGGATGTATTTTCATTGTTACAAATTGAACATAATTAAAGCATAGTGATTAATCACAGAAACAATATGTAATTATATATGTGTTTTCTGATGGTCTTAGGCGACCCCTGTGAAAGGGGTCGTGACCCACAGGTTGAGAACCGCTGCCTTAGATGCTTACCACAAAGTTGGGATCCTTAAATGGCAAAGGTTTAGAAGTTTTTTCCACAGGTCCTGTGCTATAGTCAGAGGGCACCATTTTATTCTCACTCATGGCTTCCATGCTGATACCCTTAAAACACAATAAGAAGAGTAGGTCAGTACCTTTTAGCTGAGTTCCCTACCTCAGCTCTCAACGAGACATAAGATGGCATCACAGGACATGCGGGGAAGACGGTGTGCCCAGAGCCCCAGAAGGTGGCCTGCAGCAGCAGAAGGCATGCTAGACTGGCTGCTGCACCTGCTGTGCAGAAGCCACAGGAGACCAGGAGAAGCCAGGACCCCAGCTGCCACGCTTGCTGGCCCCCCATGTGCCAAGCACAGGGATGGGTGTCCTGCCCACGATGCCTCATTTAACTCTGACAACAACTAACTACAAGGTAGTGCTATTATTCCCAGTATACAGAAAAAATCAGGCTCTCCATGACACCACATGCCCCTGCTCCTGCTGATGATGTCAAACTATGTCTTGAAATATTAAGACAAAAAAGGTCCAGTCCCTTTAAGGGTTTCATCAGCCAGATCCCAGGCTAGGGCTGGTATGCTTAAGGGGCACAACAGGATGTGGGCATTCTAAGGAAGGAGAATAGAGGGAGAGGAGGCTAGTCGCTCAGCTGGCTGTGGCCAGAGTGCCCTGACAGGCAGGCCAATGTCCTTTAAAACAAAAAGACTTTTAAGCTACGAATCACAAAGAAAAAAAACAAGACCAAGTAAAAAATAACTTCTGATTTATAATGCAATTTCCAATCTTCCCAAATGGTAATAAATTGTTTTTTGATATATAATTTACATAGAGTGAAATGCACAGATCTTAAGTGTAGTTTCCTGGGTTTTGCCAAATGCTTACACTTGTGTAAGCCATGCCCCCATGGAGATAAGAGAGCATTTCCATCATCCCAGAAAGTTCCCTCATGCCTCTTCCTAGCCAATACCTTCCACCCTCAGGGGCAACCTCTGTTCTGATTTCCACATTACTTTTGCCTGTTCTAGAACTTCATGAGTGGAATCTGACGTATGTACTGTTGTGTTTGGCTTCCTTAGCTCTCAGCATAATGTTTCTGAGATTTATCCATGCTGTTGCATAGATTAGTTCATTTCACTGAATTTGTACACTACTCAGCAGAGTAGTACTCTACTATATGGACGTACCACAATTTGTTTATCCATTTTCCTGTTGATGAAATAAAGCTGCTATGAAATATCTGTCCAAGCCTTCGTGAGGACGTGTTTTTACTTCTCCTGGGTAAATACCTAGGAGTGGAATGGTTGGGTTATAGGGTAAGTATATGTTTAACCTTGTAAGAAACTGCCAAATCATTTCCTTAAATGGTTGCACTCTTACATTCTAGCAGCAGTGTAAGAGTTCTGATATATAAATATATATTCCATCTCACCAACCCCACGACCCCTAGCACTTCCTGCAATGGCATCCATATGGGAGGAAGTTGGCATGGGGGAGACAGGACCACTCACTCTGCTGCAATAGCTCTCTGAACAGTCTCTTCTCAAACACCTGCCCAGACTCCTCTCCAGGGTCCCTCCCACAGGCCAGTAAGCGCATGAAAAGATGCTCAACATTATTAGTGATTAGAAAAATGCAAATCAAAACCACAAGAGATATTATTTCCACCCACTAGGATGAATGTCATCAAAAACATAATGACGTGTTGGCGAGAATGCAGAGAAACTAGAATCTTTATATACATTGCTTGTGAAAATGTAAAAAGGTGCAATCACCTTGGTAACAGTTTGGCTACCTGGTTTTAGAGGCCAACCTAACAGCGAATGAGCCAGGGACTTCATGGAACCTGAGGAGGAAGCTGTAGCTGGCATGCAGGTCAAAGAGAGTGACAGTCATCTGCTCTTTGAAGAGGTGGTGGTCCAAGGGAAAAGGAGGAAGCTTGGTCCACTGGCTGAAGACACATGCAGTAAGCAGGTCACCCGCCAGTGTCAGAAGGAGGCAAGGAGCCATTCTCCTGAGGACTGTAACAGTTCATTAAGGATGCACCAAGAGACTACCCGGGGAGCAAAGACCGATGGACGTGGGTTGTCAGGAGGCTGGGCCTACAGAGTGGCCTAAATTAAGTGAGAGAAAGAAAAATAACCATAAGAACTATGCAGTGAATAGAAAACCATGGCAGCTAGGGACCACTTAGGAAAACAGGCTGAATATAAAAGAGGTTTCCTGGGGCCAGATACACTTTAAGTTTCAACTTTATTGCGTTTTTCATAAAGAAAATGACTACTTATATAACGTTGTTTCCATCTGGGAGAATATAAGCAAACAGAAGTGCTACAGAGGCAAAGAGGAGATCCTAAAGGGAAATGAAGAACCAGGCCCCAAGCCTCCAATGGTGATTACAGAACCTCCATAGAACAGGCCCAGCTCACAAGTGCTGCCCTCCTCAAACCGTGGCCTTAGCTTTATCTCCTTCTCCAGAACTGTTGAATGACTGCATTGTCCCTTTCTGTTCATGCCTCTTTCCTGATTCCTAGAGGTAAGGTCAAAGGCACAGCGAAGTCCTGGAAGGAACACAGGTATAGGCTGTTCCCAGGCCCGGAGGGACCCGGGAGGACACCGACAGGCAGGAATGCCTCAATGAGACCCAGGCAGGTAGTGCTACCTCAGAGGCCACTAGGAAAAGCAGGGACCTCAGCAAGTCCATGTGGGCTGGCAGGTCTGGGAGCTCTGCCAGGGGGGAGGATGCACCTGTGGACGGATGCGTCTGCTGAGAAAAGGGAAGGTGGTGGGAAAAGAGGGCTAGACGTTGGCATCACCATTCCGAGTGGCACGCTTGAGAAGGGTCAAAAAGGGAATGAAGATGATGTCCTCACGCACTGATTTTCCAAACCGACCCCTCCTGCTCATTTGGCTACTCCTTCCCCTTCTGGTCCTGGTCAGCCGGCCAGCCCTCCACCACGGAGTCGTGCGGAAGAAGGGGCAGAGAAAGGAAGCCATCCTGAGGTGCACTGAGCTCATCACTCCAGACCTGCATCCTGCCTCCACTTCCCTCTCTGACCAGGCTCCAAAAGAATACCCCACTCTGGCTCAGAATTGGGTTTTCTCTTTTCTTTCCTCTTTAACTCCGCCCTCCACGTTACTACGCCCTCATTCTTCCCTTCTCCTGGGCTGGGGCTTGGCTGGGACTCCTGTGTCTATTAGTGACGGGATGAGAGTGAGACACCTTCAGTCAAAGGGAAGATCAAGTCTGTCAGGCAGGGATGCAATAAAATATAATTTAATATGATGTACAGTTTCCATAAAAATAAACCACTATCCCAGTAAGAGACTTTACGAGATGAGCTGTCCCGCCCTGAGACATGAACCCTAAGAGGAAAGAAAGAGCACGCAGCACTGAAAGAGCTGATGTAAGTCCCAGGGAAGAGAAACCTGGCCTGCTATCAAAGAAGAGCCCATGCCGGCCCCCAACTGAGGCAAGTCAGTGAGGCCTCAGCTGTGCCCAATTGCAGAGCCCAAATAAATGGCTTCATCTCTCCAGACAGCATGACTGCATGACTGACTCAGACTTAAGGATAACTTGGGCACTCTGTCTGTGGCTACAAAAAGAGAAACAAACGTTCTTTGTCTTATCACTAAAAAAAAAAAAAAAATCAAATGTCTACTTACATCTATCTAATAGTATTCTAGATTCAAAAGCTGACCCTAGTCTACAACTACAGGGTTACTTAAAACAAAAAAACTGAGATGCAACCTAAATATTCAGTAATATCAATTAAATAAGAGCATTTAATTCCTTGAGAAGTCTATCAACATAGAGATAGGCTTATGAAATAATGCTAAGTGAAAAGCAGGATACACCAAATACAATGCTGAAAAACTTCATTTATACATAGAAAACACAAATTATTATAGTTGCTAGGGAAGATTGGGTGACTTTTTATATCCACTTTAAAAACAGGGGGGAGGGGGAGGAGGAACTTCTAAAACTTAACATTATCATGATTTTTGTTAAAAGCTGGGGTAGAATGGTTTTTTAAAATGAATAAATCAAATCAGTCCAGCATTGTCTGGCTGCCTCCATCATGTAGACTGGATGATGATAGACCAGTGGTTCTCAACCTTGGCTGCACATTAGAATCACCTGGGAATCTTTTTAAAATCCTGATTTCTGGGCCTCATCCTCCGGAAATTCTGTTTCTTTGTTACTAATGTTGTGGCCCCACCCCATAACAAAGAAACAGAATTCCGGAGGATGAGGTCCAGAAATCAAGATTTTAAAAAGATTCCCAGGTGATTCTAATGTGCAGCCAAGGTTGAGAACCACTGGTCTATCATCATCCAGTCTACATGAACCTTCTAAAGCACAGCTGCCTCTCATTTACATGTTTTGTTGACTGCTTAACCATCACGAATCAGCCTATTATGTAACACTCAGTATGTAGGTCAATTAGGTCTCTGTAGATTTTATCAACTTGAATAGGCATTTGGAAAGTCTAAAATATTGACCTCACAAAATCCACCCCCCGCCCCCAAAGCATTTCTCTGCACATGGATTTGGTTATATCAGACTAGAGGCCTGGTGCACGAAATTCGTGCACTGGGGATGGGTGGGGGGTCCCTTAGCCCAGCATGTGCCCTCTTGCAGTCCGGGACCCCTCCCTTGTTACTGCCCACCTGCTTGCTGCTTCCTACCGCTTGGCTTGCTGCTCCTTAGTGCTGCCACGAAGGCCTTGGGTCTGCTGGGTGC